TGTTCCTCATATGCAAAGTTCGTTGGTGCTGGTGTATTTAATTATGTCAAAGCACACTAGGACTATCTGCCTAAGGGGAGGGATGCCTTCGTGGAGGATGTTCTAAGGGAAACTGTCTCGTATACACGTTGCGCATGGGGAAAACCACGAAAACACCCATGCAGCAGCCCGTTCGCGAATTTGAACCTCGGACCGAACTACCAGTGTTCAGCGACTTTACCACTCGGCCGCTAGTGGGCATATGCAAAGTTCGAAATGACGATAATTATGTGTTAGTAATCTAAATACAAGTTTAGTACTTTTGGTGGTTTGAATTTTAAGCAGATAAACTAGGTATTGTTAAAAGAGTTTTGTTATGCAATTAAATTTCATTTAACCTTTGAAATTTGAGTTTGATCTTTTATATACCACCTTCTAGAGCACTAAGAGGTCTGATTCTCCTGTTGTTTTTATTGCAAATTTTTGGAAAGAAGAATGTGCTAGAATTGATGATAACAGCATTAAAACACTAAACATTATTGAATAAACACTAGAAATTATAGAAAAGAATAAATAGGAAGTTGGATAACTTATTATAATACTAAGAAAATACTATAAATCTAAAAGAAAGGCCTAGAACAGTGACGGCCCTGATCGTAGCAGCCAACGTTAAATTATTTTCAGGCATTAAATTAAAATTTACAGACAACGTTCAGATTGAAATATCTTTTTGATGTTATAATTTTCTCATTTTATAACGTTTGAAAAATATGTTTTAACCTTTTGAGACTTTTATATTAAAATCTTTCAGGTGGTAGCCTGTAATCTGAAGTTTTCAAATTTTAGTGTTCTGATAACCAGTTTCCTAAATTTGTTTCTCGATGTCTGGAATGGAAATGAGTAGTAGGTTTTGAACAATGTCAATGTTTAACCAATTCGTTTTCAAGTGTCTCAGAATTTGCACTCTGTGGAATTTTTGGTTCCCGTGCTCAAGGCTGACGTCTATGCTGGCTTCTGAGAAGACTAAATAACTTCTCTTGCTTTTATTTTTTATTTGTTTGTTTGGTGTTCGGAAGCTATCGGACTTTTTTTAGTTATGTTACGTTATCTGAAAGACATCAAATAAAAAAGTAGATTGGACACCTAGAAAGAGATGTAATATTATTGTGTTACGAGAAAGTGGTCTTTCATATGCTGAAATTGCAAGACAGGTGGGTGGTTCAGTGACTACATCTGAAGCTCGAAATTTAAGGTGATCGCATTTTTAATTTGTTTTGAAATTATTTATTTACTTATTTTAATCTTACAAGAATTAATGCATCTTCTACATTTCATTTAAAAACAATAACTGAATTTTAAATTAATGCTCCTAATATATGTTTCGCATTTATTAATTTGAAATAGCGTATATTAAGCTTTAACTGCAAAATAAGCATGTATGTTAACTATATCCCTTCTTTTTAATTTTTCCGTTCCTTATTTTAGTTCTTTATTTCTTTATTTTTTGAATGAATTTACCTGTATTCCGTATTTTAATGTTTCTGGACGACAAGCACTTTTTGTTGTCATAATTTGCAGTTAGACAATTTTTTAAGAATAAACGATGTCTTGTTTTTAAAACGTTTTAAACCTGCGAAAAATGCCTTTCACTAGCTCAATAATCTACTGCTTTAATTTTTTTTAATAATATTAATTTCATGTTAATCTAATTATATTTGGAAAATATTAGTTTATAAATTGTATTATAAAAATATGTTAACGATTTTTCATTATTAAAGTGTTAGTGCTTTGATTTCGAATTCATATCAAAATTTATAAATGCCATTATGATGGACATTTTAACAGAAATGGATTCCTAGTAATTATACTGGACTTTTATACTAGATGGAAATGTATCTGGAAGCACTGCTTAGTGTAAATTCTTTAGATTATCTTCTGTAAAGATTTCGTAATTTAAATTTTATGAATTCTGTTAAATTATTTTAATTCGATGGGATTTTTTTGAATGATTAATAGATTTGTTTTAAGAATAAATTAAAAATACACGAATGATAGCACAAATTAATGTGATAGGAATTACGGCTTCGTGATATTAGAAATGTCTAGGTAGAACTAATTCTAGTAAATTAACAAACAGATGAATTTATATACGCTAGATTATATTTCCAGAATATCTGCTTCCTGCAGTTACGATGGTTCCATTTTTAAACTCAATAATTCAACTTAATAATATGACAGGAGTTTTACTCTTTATCGTATTAATTACTGCTTATTTTAATCCCCAAATAAATTTGGAACTCTTTGTTATATACCGTATTAAACAATCAGGAGAGATATAGTCTGTATGGGAGATTAAGGTAAAAAGTAAAATGCTTATTTAAAGTAAAATGATTTTACATCAGATCGGACTATCCTTTGATCAGATGTTGTTTATAACCAAGAGACAATGGTTTTGAAGTTTTTAAGTTAAATTTAAAATAGAAATTTATACTTGGGAACCATATTTTAATGACGAGCTTGGCATGTAACCAGCTGTTCCCAACAACTACTAGTAATCTTAAAAGGAGTGACAATATTCTCCACAAAACAGTACGAAAGTATATTTTAGAAAGCACTGTACGCCACACAGTACGATACTGTAAGGTCCAAGAGTGCCAAAGTGTTCAGATGCGTATTCTTAAGAGCTGAATACCACCTATCTGTTTGTTAATATAACCACTTCCACATATATTTCAAATTAATTTATATAGTCTCGACAAAATAATGTACACTTTTTCAATATTTTTACCAATAAGTGGCTAATAAAAGTTTACCTTGTACGTACACTATTTTCAGATTTCTTCATTTCTTCAGTGAATTTCTAGATATCGTATTCTTATGAGGCTTTCGATGGGAAACAGAAATTTTTCTTAGAACAGTTATGTCATCTATGTACACTGCGAAAGAAAAAGGGACAATTCTGTATCTCCCATTCTACTGGGCCAATTGACGACATTCAAATTGCGTTTTTCATGTCTCTAAAGCGCGATTATGGATATATATTAGATTTATATATATCATTGTTCTAACATAGGTATTTTGACACAAAGTGGGTCTTTTTCTGAAATAACATATTAACTTATTTCCCTCAGGATCAATTTTAATATTAGTTTGGATTTAGTTTATTAAGTACTCCAATGCACTGAAGATCTATTTGTCTGAGGACAGGAATGCCTTTGTGCAGAACATTTTAAAGAAAACTGGCTCGTATACACGTTACACATGGAGAAAAACCATAAAAAAACAGTTGCAGCCAGCCAGGTTCACTACGATTCGTACCCCGAATCAAACAGACGACTTTACCATTTTACCTGCCTGAAAACTCTAAGTTCTTTGGGTGCCTGATTTACTCCGGAACAAGTAAAAACATATTTGGTAAAACTTCTGTTTCTTAATAGTTTAATGAAATATTGTTTAGTGCAAGATAAAATAAATATCATTTGAATTTTATAAAAAATCGCCTATTTAGTACTTGAATTTTTACTATAAACTCCGTCATTAAACTTATAACTATTGTTAGCATTCCTAGTAATTCTGTAATAACCTCCAGGAAATGTAGATAGGATAATGAGAGAAAAGAAGGGGACAATAATGTGAGAGAAGATAGAATGATTATCGAAAGGGAAGGAGCAATTGACTATCATGGTTCTTTTAATATTTAAGACATTTTATAAAATCATTGATCGTCTGTTATTCTTTTCCTCACTGATTCATCATCAATTATGCTTTTGTCTGATAAGAGCAGACTATTACTTCATGTATTGAACTTTACAGTCTAATAATGCAATTTAATTATTTTATGTCATCAAATTAGATTACTGCTGCACTAATCCTCGACAAAATGCGTTTCCATAAATCTGATAAGTGGTAATTTATTCAACATGATTTATTATGGCTAATTATATAAATGTATAATTGCTGAACACATTTTCTCAGAGAGTGAGAGAGTTGGAGAATGCTCTCACCAGGGCAACAATCGAACACCTTCTGTATCGAGAAAAGTGAGGGCAACACATGCATTTGTGTATTATCTTACGCTAGGGCACAGCTATGGGCTTTAACACGGCAGAATGTAACGGCAGCTGTCCAGATTACCGGTTATGCGAACAGCAGGTGACTAGAATGGGACGTGTACCTAATGACATCCCATACCAGTACGCCAGGTACTAGGTCCATATGACGATGATGAATGGAAGTTATCAACGTTCATAAGTGTTCATTTTATATGTTATCTGAGATAGCAACAGCTTATGCCTTCTGAATATTATACGATACAGCATCTGCCATTCTTATCAATCAACTTTATTTTCGTCTACTGTTGTTTAACCTTTTGAAGACGGGATGGCCATTATAGTGGCCATAGAGTGCTCTCTTTGAAAAGACAGGGTTGTCCACTTTAGTGGCCATGTCTTTTTCCCCCATTTTCCAGGCTGAAAAGTGGGGTGAAATGTCAAATTTGACGTCCCTAGGATTTTAACCACTTATCTCTTTTAAAGGTCTTCCTTTTGCGACATAGATGCACCCTTCTGAGAATCCATTAAAGTACACACAAGAATCTTTGTTGCAAATATTAGGTGATTTCTTAAAGGGGAGAAAGCATTCGGTTCAAGATTCCCCGTCCTTTGGTAGCTTTTACCGCTACCAAAGCCCCGGCCTCACAACGTTAAGATGTCATTTTACCTTTTTACGTATATGCTGTTGTAATGACTGATGCAATATTCCTTCCACACTCAAAACGTTTTACTATTTCCTTAAAGCATATGGCGCAACTCTATCAGAGGTGTGAAATGCTGCATTAGAGGCTTTTAATATGTGTTCGTATTGTTTCGTACTCCGTCTATATATTCAAGAAGTGTGACGAACGCTAGTAAACAGCCCCATGTACTGCAGCGCCACCTTATCGGACGCTGTTCAAAAACACCTACGCCCGAACTAGTTAGTTCGAGTTTCGGCAGAGGACTATGAACATGTTCTTTTTTATTTTCACTTCAGTAATATTCCTTTTGTTACTTCTTGTTAGTTTTGTCATGTAACTTTCTTTATGTAGTGTTTGTGTTTAAATAAATTCCTTTTGTTAAATGTTAAAGTTTGTCTGGTTTAAATTTTACCAGTTTTGTTTAACAACTTTACAGCTAGCCGTGGTCACAACGCTACATAAAAGAAAATGGCTGCCCAACGGTGGGCCTCGAAAGTTTAAAATTATTCTAAAATAAAAGTCGTACTCTTTACCGAAACTCGAGCTCAATTGTTTCTTCTAGCTTTTCTGGTGATATGAACAATTTCGAATATCCATTTTGAAATATGACGGAATAATCCAATGTCTTTTGGTTTTAGTGGGAAGCAGTTATACAGTAGGTAGGAGATTTATTTTGTGTAAAATTTCATTCATTGTGATGGTTTAACATAGAGTGAAAGTCTGTTTTATTTTATAAATATTTAAGTATTAACCGAAACAATACTTAACTGATGTTGTATTATGATCATTTGGAAGTTAGAAGGTGTTAAATTATATTATCACAACCCGTGATATTTCAGTTATGGGAAAATAAATATGTATCTTCAATTATATGGTACATCCGTATATTTTTTTAAACAAAAAGAGCAAAAGTAGTTCTTTGTAATATTATTAAAATTTGTAGAAATGATTTTATATTTGCATTAATATTGTTCATAAGTGTTTAAAGCTTGATTCTTGTTTGTTAAATGGTTTTATATATATATATATAACTGAAAAACAAAACTTGCTTTTGAAATATAAGTATTACGTAATTTATTCCGTCTGAGAGATTGTTACGAAATGAAGGTTTGTCCTTGAACAAAAAGGATCACTCATAAATAACGATTCTTTGAATTAGAAGAGAGTATGTTTATCGTAATAAATAATTTATTGAGATAAGAGGTGTCTGTTATTGCAAAATATATTGCTATTTTCCTTTTTTTATAATAACTCTTATTTAGAATTTGTGTCATATTAATCTGCTTTCATGTTCATTATTTTAAGAGTGAAAGATTAATGATGTTAGCAGCTCAATAAAACTAGTTTGGTAAATAAAAAAAAAATATACGAATGTGTAAATGTGTAATATATGATTAGAATTCTGTGAATTTTGATATTGTTTATGTGAAATCTTTGAAAGTATATTCCATTGCTATTAAATTAAACCCTCATTGCTTAAACTTACATATAATTAATGCTAAGGCTTTAATTTTACTCTTATATTCGGTCATACTGTATTACATTTTAAATAATTAGTGTTGAAATTACTTCTAATTATATCTACATATATGTGTATGTATACAAAAGCAATTCTGTTTAAGAAACTTTATAAGGTATTTCTCCCACTTTCCTAGCGTCATTCGTGGTGTAGTGGTTCTGCACGCTGGACCGGTATTCCAGAGATCCGTGGTTCGATTCCCGGCGAAGGTGGTTGCTATTTTTCATCTTCCCTGCTTTCAAAAAAATACCTAATGTCTCTACAGTGGGGCGCCCGAACTAAAAGGGTTGTGAATGATGATTCTCCACACTCAGGATTTGGCGACTAGGTCCCCTAAAACCCTAGTCACCCTTTAAAAAGGGGAGTATATAAGGTATTTCTCCCACTTTCCTAGCGTCCTTCGTGGTGTAGTGGCCGTTAGGTTGCTATTTTTCATCTTTCCTGCTTTAAAAAAAGTACGTAATGTCTCTACAACTTTTGATTGCAAAGGTGTTGTTATTGCGCATTCTGTGTTCAAAATACATTTAAGAAAATATTGATATTTCTTTATTGTTCTGAGTTGATAATGAAGATATTATATTCGAAATCAAAAATGTATAGTAAATTTTAATAGTTTCCCTTTCCCTATTCTTATAATTTCTGCCAGTGAACAATATTAAATTAGATTAGAAACTTTTTCAACTATTAAAAAAAAAAAAAAAAAAAAAAAAAACTTTACATAAATCCCCTTCGAGATGGCGTATTTAGGCAAAGGCTGCAAAGAGGACCTTAAATTACTAGCTTTAGAGCATGGATTACAAGTCGCAGGATAACTTAAAGTTGTGCAATTGCGAGATCTGATAACGAGTTTTAAAAACCTATGATGAAGAATTTACCAAAAATATGTTAAGTAACATAATCGATGAACGCGTAAAAGCCGAAAAAGAAGCTGAAGATAGAACTGAAAAAGAAGCAGTAGAAGCAAGATTAGCCAAGGAACACGAGTTTGAATTAGAAGAAGTTTAAACTCCAACTTGAAGTTAAAATGAATATACCAAAGGAATCTGTTTCTCAAGTAGATCAGTCTAATTTTGATTTGAGTAGCATTCTTCCAAAGTTTAAACCAAAGGAAGATGAGATAGGGCTTTATCTGACCATGTTTGAGCGTCAGTTGAAATTCGTAAATATATCTGAAATTGATTGGATTCTATACTTGATTGGATCATTACCATCTGAAATAAATCAATTAGTTGTTAGAGAAAACGAAGAGGATTCTAAAGATTATGAAAAAGTAAAAGCTATGCTTTTGAAGCGATATAAACTCACAGCTGATAGGTTTCGACAAATGTTTTGTCAGCATAGAAAATCTGCAGAAATTACATGGAAGGACTTTGCTTTTGAATTGAAATCTTATTTTGAAGGATGGATTAAAGAATTGAATATCTCTAGTTTCGAGCAGCTACAATACTTGATCATTGCAGATCAAATAAAGAAAAGAACGCCTTCCGAGGTAACAGAACATTTTGTGGACAATTTATTAGAAATGAACGATCCGTTGGAGCTCTCAGAAAAGCTCGATTATTATGAAAATGTAAGACTAGCTCGATTATTATGAAAATGAAGAAAAATGCACCTACCAATGCAAAGAAACCATATTGTAAAGAAATTATTAAAAATTGTTCCAGAAGGAAAATCTGAAACTAGTAATCCTAAAAACTTTAACCAGATTAAAAATACAAATGTTGACAATTCAAAATTTACTAATTCTAGACAAGAAAGGAAAACTTCTATTCATTGCTATGGTTGCGGATATCCCGGTTTCATACAATCAAAGTGCCCTAAGTGTAATAAGTTTAAAGAAGAAATTAAAACTGTCGTCAATTGTGTAAAATTGTATGCAGTTGAATCATCCGATCTACTGTCCAATTCCATTTTTTAACTGTTTGTGATGAAAAAGCAGCTTTTTGTGCTGATACAGGAGCATCGAATCCTATTGCAGGAGAAAGATTTTATAAGTTGTTACGAGATCGAGGATTTGGATTTAAAACAACAAATATTACGATGGTACTAGCTGATGGCAAGGAAAGAAATGTTCAAGCTTTGACTACAGTGGTAAATCTTAATGTTGAAGGAAAGATAGTCCGTATGAAATTTATTGCTTTGCCAAAAGCAAAAGGTAACAGGACGTTACTTGGAACTGATTTTCTACAGGCTGCGGGAATAGTGCTCAACATCCAGAATGGCACTTGGTATTTTAGTGAAAATCCACAGAAGCAGTATCCCTTTTACAAAGAACCATCTGAAACTAAAGAGATTCCAAATGAACTAACATCTCTGAAAGTAATATCTCCAGAAACAAGAAATGTCTGCTGACACTCTTGTTGCAATACCGGAAGCAACCGAATCTGTGAAGTTGAGAGATGATGAAGGAAAACATTTGACGAGAAAACAACGACACAGAAATTAAATTCGTTGTTAGAAGTGTATAAAACTAGATTTCAGCCAGGGGGAGAGCCTACTCCTCCTTATATTGAGCACAGAATCCAGACCGGAAATAATTTACCTGTTGCCGAACCACCATATAGAATGACACCCGCGAAGAAAGAGTTGTTAAAAAAGGAGCTAGATTCCTTACTAGCTCAGGGTATCATTGAGGAATGCGAATCACCCTATGCGAGTCCTGTTGTGTTGGTCCCTAAACCTAATGGTTCCATCAGACTGTGTATAGATTATCGAAAATTAAACTCCCAAACCGTTCCAGATACCTATCCATTACCAAGAATGGATGATTTGCTAACTGAAGCCAAATCAACGAAATACATGTCTACCATTGACCTAAGAGCAGGTTACCATCAAGTTAAAATTCATGAAGCAGATCAAGAGAAAACTGCCTGTGTGTGTCCATTTGGTACTTTCAAGTTTTTGCGAATGCCATTTGGGTTGCGAAACGTGCCTGCAACTTTTCAACGACTCATTGATAATTTTAGATCAGGGTTAAAAGATGTTTTTACCTTGTCATAACTCGACGATATCATAGTGTTATCAGAAACATTTGATAAACATTTATCAGATCTGAGGAAAGTGTTTGAAAGATCTTCTGTGTTTAAACTAAATGCTAACAGGAGCAAATGCCTCATTGGATTACAGAAGACGGTGTAGAGCTAGATGCCGAGAAAGTATCTTCCATTCAGAAAATTCCTAAACCAACATGTGTAAAGGAAGTTCAGTCTTTTCTACAGACGTGTTCCTGGTTCCGAAGATATGTCCCTAAGTTTTCAGAAGTTGCTAGACCCCTTAGTGACTTAACCAAAAAGAATAAACAGTGGACATGGGGTGAAACCGAACAAAAAGCATTTGAAGAGTTGAAAAAAAGGTTGATTTCACCGCCTGTGTTATCTCAACCTGACGGAACTAAACCGTTCATCATTAGGACAGATGCCAGTAATTATGCTTTCAGTCCTTATCCAAGGAGAATTCCCAGAGGAACGTGTGATTGAGTATGCAAGTCGATTTTTAAACTCAGCAGAAAGAAATTATTCAACTAACGAAAGAGAAGCTATTGCACTAGTTTGGGCTCTTGACAATTTACGCGGTTATATAGAAAACCAAGAAATAATAATTGCATCTGACCACCAACCTATCATATTAATGAGAGAAATAGATTTACAGCTCTTTGGTTGGTCTCGATGCAAAGGAATGGACGTTACTCTGAAAGTTCTCGAATTTCGAATAGCCAGTGATTCTGAAATTACAAAATCTTACTAAAACAGTAAAAATTCTTCGTTGGGAGTGATGTGTAAACTGGCAGATTTGAAGAAGAATGTTTTCCTTCGTATGATTTGTGCAATTTATTGCTAAGATTGTTAAGATTAAGCAAACAGTTGTCTACTTATTTCCTTATAGGTGTTTCATCATGTGCATTTGGGTTTCTGCTGCGCGCGGGAGGAGAATGACAGGAAAGTTAGTCTTACGAGGTGATGAAGGGAAATTGTCACTGCTGTAAGGTATTTTCTCCCTCGTTCCAGCATGCCTTTGTGGTGTAATTGGAAGCACACTCGACGCATATTTTGAGGTCCAGGTTCGTTTTACGAACTGTTCATTTTTTATGTACTCTTGCTTCAAAAATAACTAATGACTCTACACTCCGTATTTTTATTTCGT